GTAGTGTTAGTCAAATGGCTTAATGGCAAAAAAAAAATTTTTAACAAAATATATACTCGAGTTTTGAGAAAATAACATTTTATTATCGTAACCATATGTTATTTTTAAGTTTCAAAATAAAAACATGTGTTATCTTATTCATGTCATGAGTTTAGGGGAAATAACATGTATTTGAAATAACATACAATTCGGTTACCTTTTTTAAAAAAGTTAAAATGTATGTTCTATAATTGGTGTGGATCGTTCTTCCCATTACCGAATCATACGTCTAAGGTTCATTAAACGTCAAGCAAAATCGAACTGTCTATAAAACAAATTAAAATAAAAAAGATTATTAAGCATGGGTGCTAATAATAATTAGTGGTCCCGAGCTAATCCCTAGAGAATGGGCCAGTGATGTATCCTAAAGAAAGACCTCAATGGGAGACAAGAAGCCACTTAGTAACATCTTTGTCTTGAAACTTGCTTCAGTTTTAGTTCACTTTCTTCTTCTTGTTTGCTTCATCGACTCATATAAGTCATTGGCCATGGAACAAACATTGCGATCGTGAAATCACAATCAGTAGGGTTAATTAAGAAGAAATTACTGGCCAAAATAACTAAAATGTTGCTAAATTCAACAAGGCCACTTGCGCTAAATGACCCGAACAATTCAAATTTAAATGTTTATTAGTATAAGTCTCGTGTGTTTACTATGCTTAATCCATAAGTACAAATTTCTTGTCCTTAATCTAGACCACAAAAGGTAATAAACTTAATATATGCCCTATAGATTCCATTTGCATATGGCGACCAGTTTGCATAAAGCCATTGTTGCTTTCTGCTTAAAACTTTAAGAGTATTTTTAGGAGACCGTGTCCCTCACTACGAGAACCTTTAAAGTTCAAAGAGTATGAGTCTCTACAATTCTAAAAAATTCATCAAATTAAACAACAAATTTAAGTACATTATAGTGAAGAGATAGAGATCTAATGCCTCGTTATTAAAAATATAAAATAGAGCAAACATGTGGGATCGTTTAGGGTTCCAAGTTCACTTTACAGACAATATCATGACATTGAACACCATAACCATTACTTCACTTATAGATCTCTCATTCTTCTTCTGATGTCCCCACAAGAAGTCAAACACTGATCTGGCAAGTCTTTGCCTGCCATACCCATTTCGCCTCGTGTCCCACTTCAAGCTCCTCTCTATATATATAATCACTTACACAAACTATAAACACTACATTCATACAAGTCACAAAGTAACGTTTTAGATATGGACGATGACCGGCAAAATACCCCAAACTCCGTTGAATTATCGTCATCGGACTTCGAGTTTGGATCGTTGACTCCATCTTCTCCATCACAAGATCCATTCTCGGATCATTCTCCCGCCGATCATCTTTTTCTCAACGGCCGTTTATTACCGCATACTTTTCCAACAGCACGTTCGGTGTCACGTACGACGAGTGAAAACACTTTCCGTAGCAGCAGTACGAGCAGCCGAAGCAGTGATAGTAGCAGCCCGACAAGCACTTGCAATGTATTCAAGATCACGAGTTCCAGTACTAATATTACATGTTTTGGTCCTCGGTCTGAAAAGATTACGAGTCAAAGGTCCGAAACTAAGACATCTTTAATATTGGATTCAAAGAAGAAACCACCGATGAATAATGGTAAGATTCCGTATTTGCCGACACATTGTAAGAGGAAGAATAAGGCGACGGAGATCGTGACGGCGCAACTTTACAGGTCTTATTCACGGCGATGGCAACATATAACTCCGGTGTTTCAGAGAGAAGGGTCAGTGAAAAGTAGTGTCGGAGGAGGGTTTAAGGTTGGTGGACG